TGAGATGTAGATCCAGTTTCAGTTTCCTGCAGGGAGCAGTTCAGTTTTGCCAGCACCATCTGTTCAAGTCATTACCCCATTTGACAGGCTTCTTTATATTGAGTTCTTAAATACTGTAATAACATAGCTTTTTCCTTCAATGTTTTCTATATTTCAAAGAACATCTTATTTTCATCCAGTAAGTATATACAAGGAGCCAATTTATAAATGTTATCATTTGGTTGACAGAAAATATTATTGTAAGACAGATTGAAAAAGCTTGACTTTGAGGAAGAAAATTCCATATACATCTCAAATAACTGAATATATTGTATCCTCATCCTAATGTTTACTTAGGCTTTAAAAATTTTATCTGGAAAGGATTTAAGCTCATTCTAGTTCAATCTCACTTGTTTAATAAGAAACTAAGGGCTACAGGGGGATAAACTTATCTCAGGGAGTTAATTAATTGCAGAACACAGATCTCCTGACTCTCCAGAATTATTTCCACTATATTAATTAACAATGCAGCTATAATAATTGGGGGGGAAGAAACTAGATAACAAATATATAAGTTTCAGAGACTCCTAGATTTAAAAAGCTAAAAGGTTCTTCCAAAACTTGTAAAGAAATTCTATTTTCAGGAGTAAAATAACATTTTTCATGTAATAAGTGAATTTAACAAAGAAACACTTTTTATACCTTTGAAAGGCAAAAATTAGTTACTGCCTTATCTGTTGAAGAGAGGCAAAGAATTTTAAAGCTACTTTACATGTTATAATAAAACCTACTTTTCGAGCTAGATTTAAGTTATTGAACTTTTTAAATGGATTAGTAGTAACTTGTTACATTCTAGAATGCTTCAAAAGAAGCAGAAGTCTTAGCTACAAAAAAACTTACAATTTATGGCAAACAAGATTAGTATGAAGCAATTCCTCCTTAAGAACTCGAGATAAATAATTTTAAACAGAGGACTTAAAAGTGGAAAAGTCCTTTTGAATGGAGCATATTAGAGGAAAACACCATTTGGTCATCAGAACTCACTAGCATTGTCTCTCTCATGAAATCTTTGGGTTTTCATGGCTTGAAATCTTAACATAAGGAGACTAACTCATCTGATTAAAATTATGGGAAGTGAGAACTTTTGGTTAGGAGGGCAATACACAATGGATCCCATCACTAGAGCTCCTTACGTCTTCAACTATCTCTTTGATCCTTAAGAGAAACATCATTTCTTTCTTCCTTTTGAAAGTTGTTTTGTTTCTCATGTGAGTTTTAAGGGGTTTATCTCAAGTACCAGATAAAGCTTCTAATACGTGGAGACTAGGGATGCAACTCGTTACCCTACACCTTTCTAAGCATGATATTCTTCTCTAAGGACTGGTCCCTCTTGGCCACATGCCAAAGTATGTGAGACAGAGCTCCAAAATCCTTGCCTCTAAGGAGCAGCCTGGTTTCACCATCTCTAGGACAGATGTTTGTTTTCTTGGCAGCCCACGGTTTGTTCAATACTCTTCTCCAGCACCATAACTAAAAGGCATCAGTCCTCCTTCTATCATTCTTAGTCACTGTTAATCTCTCTGATGTATAGCAAGTAACTGTGAAGACCATGACTTGGATTAGGTGCACTTCAGTCTCTAGATGGACATCATTGCTCCTCAGTACTCTGGAGAGGTCCTTGGCAGTATACTTTCTCAATGCAATTTTTCTTTTGATTTCTTGGCTACTGGTACCTAGAGTGTAGATTGTGGAGCCAAGCAAGCTAAAGCTGTTAACAACCTCCATCTCTTCTCCATCATCTATCATGATGCTGCCAACTGGCCCAGTGGTGAGAATCATTGTTTTCTTGATGTTGAGCTTCAATTAATATTGGAGGCTGCAGTCCTTGACCTTCTGCAGCAAATACTTCAGCTTCACCAAGCATGGCTGTATTATCTGCATAGTGCATGCTGTTGATGAGTCTTCCTCCAATCCTGATGCTACATTCCTCCTCATAAAGTCCAGCCTCCTGAATGATTTATTCTACATATAAATTAAAAAGGTATGGAGATAGGATGTATCCAGGTCCATCCTCAGAAGCTAACAGTTAATTTTCACCAGCCATGCATAACTGTCTGAGGTTTTATAGCAGATGAGCAATAAAGAACTAAAAAAATTTTGGGTAGGGTCAGTATTAAAGGGGATAGTAGAAGACAGCAGATCCCCAGTAAATGCATGAATCAAGACTCTAACAGGAGGTTGTGGAAGACATGATTTGTAAATAGGGAGGTCTCATGACTCAATACTGACATCTTATCAACCCAGAGACTCATATAAGGAGTCATTAGACTTTAAGTAGAAGCCAGATGCAGGATATGCTTCTCAAACTGGAGTACATGTATTTCTGGGATTAGTCAACTATGTTTCATTTAACTTTTTGGGCAATTTTACTTGATAGCAATTTTAATCCATGTCATTAAAGTAAGTCATATTTTCTAATTCTGGAGGAATTTTAAAAATACAAGATTTAAAGTAAACATTTAAATTTTAGTAGGGCTACTCCCAAACCATTTTCATGTTTTTAGAAACAAAAGCTTGAAAGACAGTTACTGGGAAAATGTATGGTCTTTTTAAAAGACTCATTTAAAAGCCTGTTTATTGTATAACCTTAAGTAAGCCCAACTATTACTTAACTCTGCAGAAATTTTGTAAAGATCACAGCTACCATGCACAGCACACAATGAAGCACTGAATAGCTTCCTCATACTAACACACACACACACACACACATACAAACACGACAGGAAAATGTTTAATCCTCTTGACTCAGGTTGCTGCTGTTGAGTACCACTGAGTTGGAACTGACCCCCAGCCTATCCTCCAGTGGGTTTTCAGAGGCAGTAAATTGCATGGGGCATTGTCCATCCTTCTTCCAAGGAACAGCTGGCAGATTCTAACTGCATGCCTTAGGGACTGCAGGGCAGTCTTACCATTAGGACAAGAGATGGCCATCCTTATGAACTAGGGTGCTCAAATTGAGTGGTCAAGTTTAACTGGGACAGAGATGTACACTGGAGTGCATAAATATGTGCTGCACACCTACTTCAGATGACTCATTTTATGTTCTCATGAAAACTTTATAATCCTCTAAAAATGCTAAATTCTAATTTTACAGATAACTAAGGGTAAATCTCACTGCAATTGAGTGGAGACAAGAAAGATTTAAGTGTCTGATGTTAAGTAATTAGCGAACAGGTATCTCAACCTAGTCACTCTGTATTTTGCATTACTGAGGGGAAGCACTCACTTTTCAAAATGGGAGATAAATTTGAGTGAGCGAGATAAAGGCTATTTATACTATCTCTTGAATTTGCAGAGTGGTGCTGTGTACTGTGAAGTCAGAACTGACTCACAGCTACACCTCTAGTGGTTTTTCAGAGGCAGTAAACCACACAGAAGAAACTGCTGAGTGCCTTTGGAATGGTAACTCAATTCCTTAACATTAGGTCACCAGAGCTCCCTGACTTGAAGTCGAACAGATGCATCATTGATCCTCCCATGTTTCAGAGGCAATAAATCCCATGGGAGGAGACTGGCTACCTGTCTCCCATGGAGCAGCTGGTGGACTTGAACCATGTCCTTTTGGGACTGCAGCATAGTTTTTTACCACTAGGCCATCAGAACCCTCTCACTTGAGTAGTGGTGCCACTAAAATATTTAAGAATACTGAGCTGGTGACTGTGTGTGATTTGACATGGGAAGAGGAACTTGGAAACAGGAAAATCTGTCAGAAGTCTTTTAAAATGTTCTAAAAGGAAAACGGAAAAGGTCTTCAACTCCTGTAATTTTAATCATATTTTAGTAAACATCATTAATTCAAAGAACAAGGTATTTATAAAAATCTAGATACAGACTGAGAAACAAAATATTCTTCATACTTCCTTCTCCTAACAGTTTAATTGAACCAAAGCTGTACCATTCCTTATTAACATGTTAACTGTCACTATGAATACAAGTCAATCATAATAACTGAGCCAAAACCAATAAGGGTAGAATCCTGTCTACATGCAAAACACCAGCCACAATGGCAATGAGTAGAAAACTGCTACTCCATTTTGTTGGTTCCCCTTCAATCAAAATGCATTTCATTATTGATCTTCTATTTTAGTAAGTACTTGTGTGAGATAATGGAGACACAGCCGGGTAAGATTCTTAAAGACATATTAGTCTAATGCTACTGGGACTCATTATACGTCTATGGAGTGGAATGGAATTCAACAGGTGACACTGACACAAAAGCAAATTTAACATGATAATGGTGAAAAAGGGAGCTCTGGTGACCTAGTAGTAAGAAGCTGCACTGCAATCCTAAAGGCATGCAGTTGAAATCCAGCAGCTACTTTGCAGGAGAAGGATGCGCAGTTTTCTCCTGTGCCATATGCTGGCTCCGAGAACCCACTGGTGGATCAGTTCTGACTCAACAAGAACAAAAAGGTTGAAGCAGAGAGATACATAGAATGGAAGTTTCTAGGATAAATTAAGTCAAAGTGTAGAAAAGTGAATGCAAGTTTGTTAGGAAGCAAGATGGAATAGGAAAAGTTGAAGAGTAATGTGCAGGGAATAGTAAGATGTTCCACCCGAGTGGTAAGGTTCAAGTTAGAAATGGTTAGAAAAAGGTTCATCTCATCTCACCACCACTGAGTCTTAACTCATATGCGACCCTCTACTGGATTTCCGAGGTTATAAATCAAGTGACAAGAGATTGCCCATCTGTCTTCCAGAGTTGCTGGGAGATTCCAACTGGGAGGCTTAGCCTTTGAGTCACCAGCACAACTTCCTAAGGACTACCGATCGCATTCACCAGAGCTGTCTTACAAGAGGCAGGGACTACGATTTGACAAGATATGCTAAGAAACAGACATTATTTTGTGCACCAGTATTTCCCATGGTTATTGTCATTGAATCCTTTTAACAATGTTAAGAAATATGAATAACACAATATATATTTAAGATTTTGAAACTTTCTTATAAATTTAAGTATATAAAAATGATAACTTTTTAAAAAACCCTCGGAATAATGGAGCTGAAGTAAACCATCTTTTATTTTCATCTTACATTTGGTTATCAAAAGACATGCAAAGCCCTTCAATCTTAATGAGAACAGTGTTTTTGTGTCTTTTTATCACATATCCGCTTAATATTAGGTGTAATGCTGCTGAGCCGGATCTGCATATGAGGTGCAGCATCGAGTCTTTTCCTGTATTTTGTCTTTGTTGCAGCGTAGTATGAAAACCCCGTTTCACACAGGTGCATTGTAGCAAAAGGAAGAAGAGCATGAATGGCACGCTTGGCAATACCTGGATACTCCTGAATGAGGCTACTCCAAAATTCATTTAGGGAAAGCTCACTGAAATTCTGTTTCACTTGAGAATCAGAAGTTAAATCTATCAGGCTCTCATAGTCCCGTGCTACTAATGAAGCTGGTTTGACAGTTACTGCAAATGGATTTCTAACCCAGGCATTACCGTCATTTTGAACAGGAAAATATTTCAACAGAGTAGAGCGTAAGCTCCGTAGGTGCTGTACAATGGAATTGCAGATATCTTTATCAACTGTAGAATTAGTTTCAGTCACAAAGTCACTGAGTGTAGGAAAACATTCAAAACTTTCTTCTTCAACAGATGAAGCCCAAAACTCCAATTTTCTTAACAATGATGACATTTTATCAATTACTGTAAAAATGGTCACATTCTTTCCTTGCATTGACAGGCTAATTTCATTTAATTTAGTAAAAATATCTGCAAGATATGCAAGCCTTAAGAGCCAAGATGAATTTGTTAAACAATCAAATAATTGAAAAGCAGAATCCATAAAAACCAATAGTTCACGACGAAGCTCAAAAAGTCTTACGAGAACTTTACCTCGAGAGAGCCACCTCTCTTCTGTATTTAGAAGAAGTGCTGTGTGCTGTGCACCCATTTCTTCACATAAAATTTTTAGTAGTCTGGACTGATGTGGTCGGGCTTTAATATAATTAATGATTTGTACCGCCTGATCAAGCACATTTTTCAGAGACATAGGCATTATTTTAATTGCCAGCGCATGTCTATATAAGCAGCAATGACTACTGGTGCTTTCAGGTGCCATATATTTTATCAGGGTGACAGCATCAGCGATTTTTCCATCCATTGCTCTAGAAGCATCACTACAAACATCAATACATTTCCCCCATTCAATTTCATGTTTCTGCATAAAACTGTTGATGCAGTTGAATATTTCTTCACCGGTAGCATTACTTTGCAAAGATTCACATAAAAGTAGGTCCTCCTCAATAGACTTATTAAACCTATAACGAACGAACACAAGCAGCACAGCCAGTCCAGAAACATCAGCGGATTCATCTAGCTGCAGTGAAAACCCGTCACAAATTTTCAGTCTGCAAACAAGTTCTTCTTCAATGTCAGCAGCTAGATCTCTAATTCGGCGTGCAACAGTACAGTTAGATAGCGGTACTGCATCAATTTTTTTACTATATTGTTCATCAAACATCTGCATCACTACATCTTTTGCACAAGGCTTGATAAGCAATTCTCCAATAGTATGAGCCTCACCACTCAGTGCTATGTGGTAACACACATTGTATGAAGCCTCTGTAGCACTTTCATTATCTGTGTCAACAATTTTAGATGTTGGAAGTTTACTATTTTCAGGTGAATCAAGATGCTGCTTGAAAAAGTTTATGTCTTTGTCTTTATATGCAGCATGTTTAGTTTCCAAATGTCTTCGAAGCTTACTAGGAGCTAAAGAGCTGTTTGATAAAATTTTCTTACACAACACACACTGAGCACGAGGTGCATCTCTATTTCCAAAGTAAGTAAATCCAAAAGACAGATAACTTTCATCATATTTTCTTCTTTTTGGTTTTTTATTAAATGTTATTTTGTTGGAATTGGATTTACGTTTGACCCTAGGAAGCTCACTTTCTGAATTTTTAGAAACTGTAAGCTGTAATTGTTCATTTTCATTTTGTAGTATTCCAATTTTGCGATCATTTGATTCAGATACCATATGATAACAAAGAGATTCTATCCCTTGTTTAAGACTTCCTTCTTTCAGCAATAGATCCATGTGCATTGATTTTGTGGTACAAAACATGGTTAATTTAAAATAAACAATGAATATCTCAAATAGGTTGAAATTAGAAGTCAGGATACATAGAAGATGATCAATCATCAAAGAGGTGATATATAGCACACATCAGTTAATTTGTAAATGCTGCTTATGCATCAACGCGCAGATGGAACATCTTATGCTCATGTATCAGGTGATCTCTGATGCGACTTTCTGGTGCTCTCAGGTGTGGTGCACCTTTTCTTAAAGGTAGATTATCACACAAAAATAAAAACTATGTAAGAGGTGCGTAGTTCAAGTCCACCAGATGCTCTGCTGAAGAAGGAGGAACAATTGCCTCCTGTACCAGTCAGATCCGATCTGACAGTACACACATAAAATAAATAAATAAAAAAATAAAAACTATATAAATGAGTATAACAATCTTAATCTTACATTTCAAAAGAAACTTTATAAAGAAAAACTGTTAGCATAAATCTTTTATTAAGACCACTTAATAACTTAGAGATTATTAATCTATAAAGCCTAACTTGGGAGTAACTGGAATGAGAAATTATGAAGAGTTAGGCTTAATTTTTAAAAGGAAGATACCTTGAGGAATATGTATAATGGTTGTTGTGTACCATTCACTGAGTTGGAACCAAATCCCAGCAGATCCTCCAGCAGGTTTTTGGAGGTAATAAACCACACAGGCGGAGAATGCCCATGTTTCTCTCATGGAGCAGCTGGGGGATCTGAACCACAAGCCTTTGGGTTGGCAACACAACTCCTTACCACCAAGCCATCAGAGTTCCCTATGGTAGTGGTGGCAAACTTTTTCTGTAAAGGGCTAGAGAGTAAATATTTTTGGCTATATGGGTCATATACTTTGCTGTAGCCACTTAAACGCCTAGTTGTAGCATAATTACAGCTATAACTAATGCCTAAAACAATGGGCATGACTGAGTTCCAATAAAAGTTTATTTACAAAAAGAGAAAGTATGTGAATAGTTTGCCAACTCTATTCCGGAATTTATTTTCTCTTTCTGATGTCTAATGTCATCAGATGCATTCATTACTCTTAATAATAGTTATTACATCTGAAGACTCCCTTCAGGGCTAGTAACAATTTTGACGAGGTATATTAAAAGCACTCAAAGTTTTAATAGAGGATTCTACAATATCCTAAAAAAAGTGTACTAATGTTGAATAAAACACAGACCAAGTTAGGTACTATGTCCTCAATATTTGATATTATATCAATATTTATATTATCCAAATTTAGGCTCATTCAAAATCTTTATTTTCACGGGTTACTCTGTATCCCATTATAGCTCAAGACTTAATCTGGACTTAAAGAAAACATACATTCTCAACAGATTTATTCTTCATATAATAAAAATAAAACATAACATAAATTTAGTAAATATTAAAGATTCCTATCAGCTTTATACCTTTAGGAAAAGAAATTCAGGATCTATAGAAACTTTTAATTTAAACTTTATGATCTGGGTACAGAGGAAGCTTTGTATATTCTTCATGTTAGACCTTGAATCAAAATTATTCTCCAATAACAGCTAGAGGGCAAAATACCTGAAATAAGAAGCACACCCTCCTGCAATCACATTTTCCACTTTCGTAGCTTGAAATGAAGAATCTTCAAAAGAATAAGATTAAGGGATAGGGTGGGAAAGGGGGTAACCAAGCCTAGAATGAAAGAAAGCATTAAAATTAGACACTGTGTTAACAAGTAACTAATACAAACTTCTATGAGTCATTAGAATTTATTTTAGATGCATTGACTGCAATTTAGGTCTTGGATTAAAAGGGAAAAGGTTACATAGTAAAGATGCTAATATCTTCACCCTGTTTAATATTACAGAAATGTCAGTTTTAAGATGCCCCAAAAACCAATTCCACATAAAAAGATATTTTTTAATAAAAAAAGAAACTGGATTTATGAATATACAGCAACATTTTAACGTTTGGAAAACTAAGCACTGAAATAATTTAAAACAATTACATCGACACACACGTGTTGCATGAAATCGTATTTGGGTTATTTTTGTCTTAACAAGCACCCTCCTAAGGTTACTTAGATTTATTGCGTAAACATGACTCTGCGTCCATAACGGTGCTAAGTAACTCCCATGGATACTTTCACCCTTAAATCTGGCTCATGGACTGCGAACAGCCCACGTGGGCCGGAACCCAGATCCTAAGGTCTGCAGTGAAGAGCTAGGACTCCCAGAACCGCAGGGTCCAGCCATCATCCGCGCGTTCCCGTGTATTCTTGTAATTTTTCACGCACTGAACACACCTAGTCGCAAAAGCTGGACAAAGAAATGGACTGACAGTGAGTTACACCTGCACAGGTCTCATCCTGGCAGCAGAAAGCCTGGCTTTGCTAAAGACTGTCCCCTGACACTCTCGCTTTGGCTAAAGCAGCAGGGAACTCGGACGGAGCTTCGCTCCTTAGCTATCAAAGAACTCGGCATCGCTTTCAGGAAGGTGTCCCCCCCAGATCTCTGCGGACCGAGAGTCGGGACTCCCATGGGCGCAATGTTTCCAGCCTCATCAAGGCGGGAGGGGGAGGAACCTCGTGCGCTCCTTTTCCTGGCGGGAAAGCTGACACAATCCCGACACTTTGAACTATAAGCTCTTTGGAGAGGGTAGGAAGGAGTCCAGACACAACACCAGGCAGGAGGTAGGAACCCACATAAAGCCCGTCTGACCCTCAAGGTCTTTTAAACGGCATCTTGGCTGGGAGACGCCTCAGCTGCTCGTGGGCGGCGTGCACTGCCTGCGACCGCCGCGTCTCGCCCTCACCACGGAACTCTCCCGCGGGCTGGCGCTTCGGTTAACAATCACGGGAGAACGCCTCACCCCCAGCCCTATCCTCCAGTTTCATCTCCATTAACGCGGGAGATGGGGTCTACGTGGCGGCTGAGCTGCAGAGCAGCGCCGCGGGCACCAGCCGCGCCCGCCATTTTAGACCGCAGCCATTGCAGAGCTCGCCAGTTAGTTAGCCGCGGCGGCGGCTCTGGTCCCCTTCCCTGAGGCCAGAGCAGGGCCAAGAACCAGTGTCGCGGACTGGAGGGTTGGGGGAAAGGAGAAGGAGAGGAATACAAAGCAAAACGGAGAGCAGAAAGGATCGGGGACTGGGTGTATGCTCTCAGATCGGGGACAGCACCTATTCCACCTGCACAGAGATCCGACTCGCGGCTGGCAGAGTCCCTCGCCGGTACGTCAATTTAGCACGCGGGAGCATCCAAACTTACCGTCTTCAAGAGCGACTATCTTCTGTCCAATCAGAGACGGAGTCGCTCTGTACCACCAATCCGTGCCGGAGTTGATCTGTACCACCAATCCGCGTGGAGCAGTGGGGCGGGACCAAAGGGACCAGGCTTGGTTGAGCTGTGGTACAGTTTTTGCAGTTTGTGAGGGAATCTAAGCAGCGCTTAGGTACCCGCTGTGAAATATTTGCCATTAAACATCCGTGAGGCCACATCGGCAGAAGAATTTGTTGAAAATGCAGAATGTGGCATCCGGCAAAGTTTGTGTTCTGCACTGGAATCTAGAAATCTCTTCATAGACACTGGCGCTTTGCTTTGGCCGATGTGATTTGTGGGAATTGGCGGTGCTCGAAAAGCGCCAGCAAAGGCTGTCTATTCCCCGAAGCTGCACCCAGGCCCAGGTTACATTGTTGTTAGGTGCCATCAAATCGCCTACGACTCGTAACGACCCTAGGAACAGTAGATCTAAACCTATCCTGTGCCATCTTCAAAGTCTCTGATAATTCTGGAGCCCATTGTTACAGTCTTTGTGTCAATTCTTTTTGTTGGATTACATCAGATAATATATTTTATCCATTTTCCTTGTTCTCTGCTGGAGTAGGGGGAGAGAGGAACTAGTTTGCCTCCTCCCCTTTCCCCTTCCGCTTTCCTGTTCCCATTTCCATTCCCAAGGATGGAGATTGTCCTTCAGAGGCTATGGTTGACCTTATGTGCTACTGAGGCTGTCACATGGAGGGAATGAGTAGGGAGAGGGAGGGTTACTATATAGGCTCCAGGCCCTTACTCCTCTGGCCCGACCCTCAAATAAGCTAAGGAGCCGCCCTGTACAGTATTTAGGAAAAGCTGTCTGTCCACTGCAGACCAGTCCAGACAGCCCACCTCTTTTGTCTGTACACCCCGCAAGGACCACCCTCCACAGGGACACGGGTGTCCACTCCGACTGCCAGCTTTCTTAAAGGGCTACGAGAGCAATGCTTTATGAAACATGATGCTGTTTTCCAGGGACTGCTCCCTCCTGAGAAATGTCCAAAATACATGACACAAAGCCTTCCTATTCTTACGTTTAAGGGGCATTTTGGCTGTATTTCTTCCAAGATAGATTTGTTCATTCTGGCAGTCCATGGTATAATCAACATTTCTTTTTGTCGACATCATAATGCAAAGGCACTGATTCTTGTACAGCCATCCTTACTGATTGTCTAGCTTTTTTTTAATTATTATTATTAAATTTTATTAGTTTTAATGAACATTTACAGGAATTTTG